CAACTCGTTGTATATTAGGATTGACACAGTCATTTGCACATAGTTTTACGAACTAGATAATTTTTTTGGGACAGGAAACAGTGTCGTTACAATTTGTAAATCTCTACCTTGCTTGAAAAATATTCAAGAAATTATGGATCAAATGAGAAAGAAGATCGAATTCTCAAGGACTTTTGGGTAGTTGCCTAAGAAAAAGACACTTAATTGATCAATCCATTTTTTCTGAAGCCAGCTTGTTATTTTCTTGGACTTTTTTCTACTGTAGCATTTAATTTAGTCTGTTTACTAGTCGGATTGATAGGAATTTATGTGGGGTGTTAATTAACGACATTCTTCTGAATTGGAGGCGTTTAGTCCGTTTAGTCTTCCTTATTAAAGAGATAATATTTTCTCACTCAACAAATAGCCAGTTTTTACCTCCTTTCCAGGTATGCGGCATTAGCTACCGTGTATTGTATATCTGTGTCATGTAGCTGTCCATGTGAACTCTCTTCTGCAGAATTGAGGGATTCGGCACGTTTGTTGTTAGACCTGCTGCTTTTATGTTCTTTAGTTTGTCGATTGCTTCTAATGTTTGTCTGTGTTCTCCTTCATGTTTTATGTGTAGAGGATCTTGAAATGATTTTTAACATCCTTGGACTAAGCAAGAAGAGGTTTTTGGCTGTGTCAGCTGAGTTTATCAGGCAAATGACATCCAGCACCCCGGTGAAGATCTGTACCAGTTGCTGTACCCTATATTTCATTTATTTTATGACACACTCAAAAAGTCACGTCCAGAACAGCCAGTCAAGAACATGTTTTTGTATGCATTTCTCGGCATCAGTCAACAATTTGTTCTAACTAAAAGTAGAAGGGGCCATCCGAGATTTCCCGCTAAATTTGAAAAACCGAAATATGCTGGTCACGTCGATGTTTCAATGCTTGAAAAGGTGTACAAAACGTATTTAATGAAGCCAAATTAGCCAGGATGTTTGTAGGTAACCACTAATACGTTTTGTATATAATTTTCAAGCACAAACACGAATACAAATGCGAGTTCGGTCAAGCATAGCGTGAAATGAATGTTAATTTGAATACAATAGTGCAAAGAAAGTTTAAATGAATTCATTAAAGTGGTTCATATTCTGAACCAAAATACTTATCAAAGGCACTACTCTTACTAGGTTTTAACTGTTAATAAACGTTATATGCGAATAGCAATTCTTGTAATCTCCAACGATGCACTTCAACATTTTTCAATTTTTTTTGTCTCTGGTTTGAATTTACCAAACACTAGTTGAAAACAAAATTGATACTAATCACCGTAGATGTAAACACGTGCCAACACATTAATCATTTTACATAGTAGTAATTATTAACTGTCGATGTGCGGTTTCCCCCACTGAATTAGACAGGGAAATAAAACCATTTTCTTTGTATTAAATGCCATGCATAACATGTCAACAGAAGCTTTAGAAGACCGCCCGCCCGCTGCGTATCAGTTTCGAATTTTAGGTAAAGAGAGGGCGTGTTTTCAACCCTGGTCTCTCGTCTCATCTTGTCAGTTCGCTTCGCATCCCTCGTCCGATGAACAACCGAAATCAAAACGTCGGATAACCAAGCATCAGTATCAAGTATATTTGTGAGCTGGTATTATTAAAAAGCCGAGATATTGGCAGTAAAGTCAGCAAAAGATTTAAAGTGCGGGGCAAAACACGTGTTTCTTAACATGCGGTCTACGACAAAAACGAAGTTTACGTGTCTCGAGATACAAACCACCTTCAACCGAACTCAAGGAAAGCTTGCAGTGCAGTGAGAAAGTGCTGGTGCCCCAAAAGTCTTAGAAAGAACCTCGTATTTTAACACGTGGTCGGCGGCATGATGCAAAAAGCAAAGTCCAACCTGCTGGAAAAAATTAAGGCTGAAAGCGACACAACCCACGAGAGTCAAAGAAGACTGAAGCCTCAAAGGTAACGCCTCAAACCCCCGACCCTCCTGAGAACGAGCTTCTGAAGGACCAAGGAGAGAAACTTGTCTAAGCTAACCAACCTCTCCAGAGCCAAATTAACTTTATTCTAAAGAGTCTGGTACCCATTTCCGCATTGTAAGAACAACCCTGTTCAATTACGGGGCCAATAATTCCTGTCACAGATTTCCTGCAATCCGTGTTTCAAACACTTCAAAAAACCATTTGAAACCCCAGCAAAAAGTCCTGGCAGTTATTTCAAATGTCCCAAGCTTAAACTCCAGAACGAGGCTAAGTGGAAACTCAACTCGTTCAACAGCAAAGTGGATGCAGGAATTTCTTAAGCCCAAAACTTCCCCAGCTCCAGAAACCCCAACCAAAAAATCATAAAAATTCGCACCCCCGGTAAACTCTCCAATCAGACTTCGAAATTGAAGCCAAAACTCGTCAGATTGCCGCAATCTCTTTACTTCCGCAAAACCGAATCCTCAAACTATTAGCGTAAAACCCACTTTACCTTTTCCCGCTCAAGAGGCTGAAGGGCTTTGCCATCCACTGCAGAAAGCATAACTTCAACAAGCAACCCAGCAAATGCAACTCAGATATAGCAAAAGTTCAACCGAACTACCTCTAGCAGATCATCAAACATGACGAGAGCTGGAACCGAAAGGCTAGAAAGAAAGGTCCGAAATCGATTTGGGAGTGATTGCTTATGACACAGTCAAAAACCTGTTTTTGATGGTAACTCATTTATGACCGAGCAATTAGGCAATAAAACCTTTTCAAACATTCTTTCAACTAGTTTCGCTTCATAAATGAACTAGTTTAGCTCCCAGTTTAAATTCAGTTTGTGTCTTTCCATCGCCTCACGTTGGTATTGTTTCTTTGCCTTATTACCCTTTTTGTTAGCTTTCTGAGATCTTTTCGGTACGTATTCCAATTGCTTGCCTGTGCTTTCAGGTCGATCTTTTCTCATTATAATCCGTATCTTATTTTGTCGTGACTTTTCCCGGCATTCTTTGAAGTCACTCCTTGCTTATTTTCTTTTCATCTTTTTCAATCGTTAATAATCGCCTTTCAACATTTTTGATTTAATTCACCTTATTTGGATGGTGTTCTCTCATCATCTTAACTTTCAGGTTTTTCGGTGTCCCGCTGTTTCGGCATCTAAACTGTTTGTGCTTATGTTATATTTGTGAACAGTATTTACTATTAAAGGGATGTGAAAGTGAGCTTGGAAGAATTGTGATTTGTGCTATTGTCATGGAACTGCATGCTTTTTCTTGTTCTTACATTTTCTGTTTCTGCATCGAGGTGTAGCCGTTGACCATTTAACAACGTCTCTCTTAATATGGAGATAAAAAATCGCGAATGATAATATAAAGCTGCAATGAAGTAGCAATTATTTTAAGACATCCATCTAAAAGGTAGAAGGTAATTTTGCTTTCTTGCACCTTTAAATTTTCATTTTGTTGCTTTAATTATCCATATCGATGATTGTTATAACATTATTTACAAACATGGTTCTACTGAGGCGTTCAATATATTTTCTTTATATATAATTTTATTATAGGCTGACTTATGGCATCACGATAAACTGCATTGAAAGTTCATTATCTTTGAAACGGCAAAATCCAAATTTACCACTTATTGAATAATAGTGTCAATTTTTAGAGACGAATGCTCAGCTGCGCCAAAAGTGTCTTTGCTCTCTCGAAGAAAGAGCGAGAATGTTTGTGAAATTTGTGGTATCAAATTTTTCTACAAAAGTGCCTTAATGAGGCACAAAGCACATCAACACAACTTACTATGAAAAGTTACCATTGATCGCACAGGCAACAGTTTGACTCAAGTTATATTGACTTCCGACAGTTAAAGGAGGATGCCAAAGTTTCGACAACCAAGAGGATTGAAACTCGAAAAGTCATCTGTAGTGCCTTCATATCAACAATTTATTGAAGAGGTAGAACTCGACAAAAGAAGTTTTTCTATTTTTACATGACATTGTATGTTTTAAGTACGTTTTTGCGTCATTCCAAAAAGATCTTTAAAAGAAATATGTACCTGAAGTTAATATTATAATTAGTCATATTTCTAATTCTAGTTTTGTGATTTAGTGTTAGTTTTGTTATATGTTGCAATATTTGAATCAATAAACGCTTAATGTTGTTTATTTTTTATAACTGTTTTAGGATTATCTATACTTTCGTTTTAGTAATAGTACAAGCTCAATAACAGTTGTATAAAACGGCGTTAGGTTTGTATACCGTGTTATAGAACGTGATATTTGTTTAAATTTAAACCGAACTGCAATAATGTGCCAAATGTTAAAATAATGTTGTTAAGAACAAAATATTGATAAGGAGAACATTATTTAATATTTCAGGTCAATTAATGCTGTTCTGAATTTTCAACGTTAAAAAATTGAAAATCTGCTTAGAAATGTACTCTAGTACTACTACGTTCGTTTATGTTTTTTGAGTTTATTACTTTTCGCATTAGAATTACGTTTAATTCGTCTAACAGAACATTTTTTAGTTTACGTAATTATTAAGGTTTGAATGGATTTCGAGGGTATCGCATATCAAGGCTGATATTTTACATACTTTGATATTCTCAGTACTTAAGTTGACAGAGTTCCTAAGTTTTCAGTATTTTGTATTAATTATAACTGAATCGTGTTTTTTGGTTAAGTTGACAGAGTTGCTACGTTTTACGTATTTTTTCTTAAATACAACTGAATCGTTGTTTTTAGTTTTAAGTTTATATATTTTATCAAGAATACCAGTATTACAGTTTGTGTTATTATAAGAAAATAATAAGTTTTTGTTTAATAAATTTTCACTTGGGTTTTTGCTTTTATTATTCACCCTTTCATTTATTAGTTATTTGCAAAATTCTCTAATCGTTTTCTGTTTCAGTCCATTTGAGAAACCACTAGAGCGGACTCACACTTAACAATTTCTAAATCAAGTGTGATATACATTATATGAAACCAGCCATTGTATATATTTTTACTAGCAAGTGCTTCTGTACTAACAGTGTTCTATTTTAGGTCAATAATCGCTGATAATGATGCAAGGCCAAACCAATTTGTGTACAGTTGCTGCAAATGCAAAGCCAAATTTGACCAGCTTGCAGACCTAACCCGGCATATTGTTAATAGATGTTCTGATAAATGTCCCAGTCCAATGCTCGCCCGTCAAGTGAAGGGTGGAGGTTTAAAACTTGCAGAGAAAAGTTTGAAAAGAAAATTGTTCCACGCAGAAACGTTCAAAGCAGATTCCAAGAGGAAATCGCTGCTTTCTCAATATGTTTCTCCTATAAATGTTGATGTGTCGGCTACCTCAAAGGCCCAATCTGCCCAATCTTGTCTTTCTTACCACAAATCCTTTTCACCAAACAACGAACTGAACATGCATTTATCGAATGATTGCAACATATTATCGGTCGTTAAGGAGCCAACTCATTTGACCAAAGTCAAAGAAAATATCTGCAAATTTTGCCATTGTAAGTTTAAGAGCTCGTATTCGTTGAAAACTCATTTCCTAACATATGGTAAGTCTTGCAAGACTGGTAGTCGACACAAGGTCAATAAGGAAATGGGGGCTGCTCAGACTATAAAAGCAACGACCCACGATAGAACCCATTTGGTTGAGGATGAAATAAGTGTTCAAAGCGCAATTCACTCATCTGATGTTACCAAAATGAATCAACCAGAACCCGAGCCGAAAAATACATGTGAAATAATTGAAACTATGCAAGTTTCTAGCACCGCAAATGTAACAGATCAGGTTAATGATAATCTAGCTTCTGAAACATCATGTGATACTTCCCGAGTGCCATCCCCAACCTTAAGTGATACTTCTAAACTGAAAACATGTATATATTGCCAACAAGCATTTTGCTTCTATTATGAACTCAAAAAGCACATGTCCAAAGATTGCCAAAAACTATCAGCTATAAGAAAACAATGCAAACGTACTCTTTTCCAAAAGAACATCTACAAATATTGTAGTGGTAAATTCACATCTACTTCCGCTTTGAAAAATCAGATGCGGATATATTCCACTAAATTTGATAAGAATGAACAGCGTAGTTTTAACAGTTTGAGAAAGAAATATTTCGCAAAGCTTAAGGATGGTCAAAACCAAAAGGAAAATAGTTACAAGCATAAAAGGCGAGCTGCTGTTACAAATCTTGTAAGGGATGTTGTTCGAAATGCACAGGCAACGATGAAATCAGCGCCAGTATTAATTGCCAGCTGCATTTCACAAAACGCAGATGCTGGCGGGTCCTTAGCAAAGGTAACTATCGCAAGAACTTTGTCAGATTCGTCAAAAGCTCAGAAGTCATCTGCATTAATGGAAGCTGACTTGAAATGTTTAGTGGAATACTCCAATGAGAAATTAATTTCCGATAAAGAGCAATCTTCTTTGCACACATATACCCAACAAAACCCCAAAACATTAGTGATGAGACAGACAGGAATTTTCGGCAAATCTCTAGAAACAGACAGTCATTCAGATAAAACACCTAAATTACTTAATGATGGCGCTATCATTTTACAGCCAGATCTCGATAGTTTGAAACCAAATCATAAGAAATCACAGGACAGGAATTCCGAAAATAGGCCGAAGGTACTCAATGAAACCGCTATTCAACCAACAGCTTCCAATGGCTTGAAGCCAAACGCTAAAAAGTCCCAGGGAAGTCATTCAAAAAAATCAGCAACAGTACTTAGTGAAAGCGCTAAGATTCAACAACCAGCTTCTAGCAGCTTAAAGCCAAATGATAGAAAGTTTCAGGACAGTCATTCAGAAAAAATACCCAAAATTCTTAATGAAAGCGCTAAGACTCAACAACCAGCTTCTAGTAGCTTGAAGCCAAATGAAAAAAAGTCTAAGGACAATAATTTAGAAAAAAGACTTAACCAAAGCGCTAGGATTCAACAATCATCTTCTAATAGCTTGAAGCCAAATGATAAAACGTCTAAGGACAATAATTTAGAAAAAAGACTTAACCAAAGCGCTAGGATTCAACAATCATCTTCTAATAGCTTGAAGCCAAATGATAAAACGTCCCAGGACATTCATTCAGAAAAAACACCTAAAACACTGAATGAAAGCGCTAAGACTCAACAACCATCTTCTAGTAGCTTGAAGCTAAATTATAAAAAGTGTCAGGACGATAATTTAGAAAAAACACTTGAAGGACGTAAAGGAAGCGCTAAGATTCAACAGCCATCTTCTAATAGCTTGAAGCCCAATGATAAAAAGTCTCAGGACAGTCATTCAGAAAAAATACCGAAAATTCTTAATGAAAGCGCTAAGACTCAACAACCATCTTCTAGTAGCTTGAAGCCAAATGATAAAAAGTCTCAGGACAATAATTTAGAAAAAACGCTTGAAGGACTTAAAGAAAGCGCTAAGATTCAACAGCCATCTTCTAATAGCTTGAAGCCAAATGATAAAAAGTCTCAGGCCAGTCATTCAGAAGAAACACCTAAAATACCGAATGGAAGCGCTAAGACTCAACAACCAGCTTCTAGTAGCTTGAAGCCAATTGTTAAAAAGTCTCAGGACAGTCATTCAGAAAAAACACCTAAAACACTGAATGAAAGCGCTAAGACTCAACAACCATCTTCTAGTAGCTTGAAGCCAAATTATAAAAAGTGTCAGGACAGTCATTCAGAAGAAACACCTAAAATACTGAATGGAAGCGCTAAGACTCAACAACCAGCTTCTAGTAGCTTGAAGCCAAATGATAAAAAGTCTAAGGAGAATAATTTAGAAAAAAGACTTAACCAAAGCGCTAGGATTCAACAACCATCTTCTAATAGCTTGAAGCCAAGTGATAAAAAGTCTCAGGACAGTCAGTCAGAAAAAACACCTAAAACACTGAATGAAAGCGCTAAGACTCAACCATCTTCTAGTAGCTTGAAGCCAAATGATAAAAAGCCGCATAGCAGTCATTCAGAAAAAACATCTGACATACTCAATAAAGGCGCTAAGCGTCTACAACCCTCTTCGGATACGTTGAAGCTAAATGCTAAAAAGTCGCACGTCAGTTCTCTCATTGTATCAACTCCATTATCTTCCCACGATCCTTCCGAAGATAAGGCGGAAACTTCGAAAGCAGCATTGAAATGTAGGTTTGTTTGTACTTATTGCAACCTAAGACATATCAGTCAATCAGATTTATCAACTCATAAGATGCTCTACTGCAAAATGGCAACTATTGCCAAATTGAAGGCTGTGACGAGTACATTAAATTATGATACGCAAACATCTTCTTCTAGAAAAATTGGGCATGAAAGCACCAATCAATCCCCTAAGATATCAGCATTAGAAGACCGAAACGTGCCAAAACGATTTCCAGAAATGGGCTGTAATTTAGGAAAAACACCTATGCTGGTTAACGTTATCAAACCTACCGAATGCGCTGTGACTGTAAAATCACCCTTTGAGAGCTTGAAGGCAGATAACAATAAGGACCAAATATCAATTGGGTCAAATATAACTGGACAAGTTGCAGCAACTATCTGTGACGGATCGGAAACCTTTCGTTCTCAGATCAATGCTAATTCTCCAGTTACGTCTTCTATCAAAATTGAAGAAGATTCAGCAGATACGCCTCCCAAAAGTGTTGAAAATGCTGTATCTCTTAAAATTGAATCAACCGATGAAAATGTAACAACCCTCCGGACAGATGCAGCTGAACCTAAAGATGCACCGACAAGTAAAACTCTACTCGTCCCCGTTTCCGAAGTACATGATCAACTAAATACTGATCCGATTCCACGTGAAGTTGAAGAAATTACAGCAGCGGATATTGGCAATTTAAATGATGAGATCAAATTAGAAATTGATGAAAGTAATTTGTCGAAATCAGGAAGCGATAGCATAACTGTACTGTCAGAGGAATTGCAAATTGGCACGGTAAAGTCGGAGCCTGAAGACTTTGAGTTTGAGGCGACACAAATTGTTGAAAGCGATTTCAATACATTATTAAATAAAATTGCTATTGAGGACATACAAAATCTAACAGCAAATCTCAAAACTTTAGAACCAAGTGTTGAAACAAACATCGATATCAGCATGAGCAAATCTCACACTTTTGATCAAAGAATTCACTCAAGAATCAAATCAGAATCTGATATTTCTGAAGGAGTTATTGCTGAAGCAAATCGTCAAAGGTTTGAACAACCCACGGCAACAGTAAATGAGACTGAACGTTTAAGCGTGCAATCACAAGAAATAATTGAATTTATTGCAGCACGAACTGAGGCAAAAGGAGTCACAGACACTAAAAATTCAGAAAAATCGACGAGTCCCACAGGTTCAACACATCTGGTGGAGGCAAGAAAAACTCCTATTCTCTTAAAGGAAACTGTTTGCAACATTTACGGCTGTATGTTCGAGGATTCTTTTGACCACGATAAGGGCGAAACACGTTCAAAAGTTTGTAAGTGTATGATCAACCTGCAACTCAAGCAACCTTCGGTTCAGTCTTCTCAAGACCATCCAGTTGATGATGCAAATCTTAATAATGAATTTGCAAGTCAACTGGATGTATTAGAGTTACAACCCAATATATCTATGGAGTTTGAAAGTGATTCGGAAGGAATTCATCCTGCTATAACCTGTGACCAGTGCAGTTTGATTTTCAGCTCCAACATTGAACTCAAATTCCATAAATGTACATTTGGTTTCAACAAAGCGCTTGAAACAGTCAGTGAAGTTAGAAACCCAAAACACCGCATTGAGAAGAACTTGTTTAAAAATTCTTCAACTACAGATCATTCAGAAATAAAGAAATCCTCTGATCCAAAAGATGTATTTGATTTAAGGCATAAATTGAATAAAAATGCCGCTTATAAAGCCGTAAAATTGCCTAGTTTAGTAGAAGCTAATGCCAAGCAAGCTGGAAGCAACCAAAAGCTAATAAGACGTGATGTCGATCGTTTGGAAGAAACTAAAACACTGACTGGGAAGAGTCCCCTCCCTAAAGCGTCAACTGCAGCGAATGAATCTCCAAATGTACCAAATACCGAAAAATCGAAATCGGAAACCAGCTCGTCAGCTTCTAAGCTTCCTCGGAGATCTAATGAAATAACCAGCAATAAATCTAGCAGGTTATCTCAAACGTCGGTACGAAGCCGAGCCCCAGATAAAAGCAGTAAACGCAAACCATCAATATACTGTGAGCTATGTGGAACCACTATCCGCAATGTCCTCGAAATAGACTATCCGCGTTGTGGACACACAGTCAGCGCCTTTAGATGTCCAGTATGTGGAGACCGATATCCGAATATTATTAGGTTAATAGCCCATATAGATTCACAGCACCCAGACAGGAATAAAGTGATAGAGAAAGAAATGCAAACACCACCGTCAAGAGGCACCAAATATTACTGTTGTTCTTGTGGATATCAGTTTTGTTTTATTAAGAATCTAATGGATCATATGATATCCCACCACAAATTCTTTCACCGTAATTCTAATGACACTGTACATCCACCAATAATCTATCCAGGTGATCCGACCATGAAAGGGTTTGCCTGTACTGCCTGTGATAACTCACTATTTGCTACCCTTGAAGAACTTTTTCGTCATGAGGACGTGAGTAAATCGCATAAAAAGTACTTTCGTCTATTTGGGAGTATTGAAAGTAACTATCATCGCATTGAAGAGCGAAAATTTGATTATGTCTGCTTTGTTTGTGACCTCGGATTTGTTTCATTCAGAAGTCTGAGAATACATATGTTGAAGTCTGCGCATCATGATGAGCTAAATCTGGAAGTTTGGAAGCAGGCTAAGCTGCGAGCTACTCAGGAGAGGCAGGGGCAATCTAACTCACTGATTCGTTCGAATAGACCATCTGAAGTTAAAGCTACAAGCTTACAAGCTGAGGGGAAAGTCCTTTCGAATATAGGCAAGCCTGATAACCTTAGTCAGTGCCCTAGAGCTTCCTCTGAAAGTAACTTGAATGATCGAAATCTTGATTTCGATGATGAACCAATTCCCGTCATAGATTTAGGTCAAGATAGCGTGAATACTACACTGGAAGCTCCCAGCTCAATTGAGCACGATTATCCTATTAGCAACAAAACGCAGTTAGAAAATCCTTCAGCAGTTTCATCGACTCCACAGCTTGTTGGAAGCGTATGTGCTCTAAATACTTCTGATCTTCTCAGCATCTTGCAAGGTCCTTCTGACACAGAAATGGAATCTTGCAATGTAACTGCAAACGACGTGGAGGTTTTGATGGCAGAAATGTATTCTGGACCAAACCCAAAAGAACATCAGTGTTTTGGATGCAGAGAACGTTTTATATCGCGAAAATTGTTGGAAAAACATGCTTGCAGCGGCCCCTTTTAGATGTTATTGCGATATAATTTTCAAGTTGGTTATATTAGTATGCTGAACCAGTGGGTGAAACAGATCCTATGTATTTAGAATTCAACAAAATCTAATTGCGGCGAGCGAACTATCTTTTTATTTTATTAACTCCAAATGACCGAATTTTGTTTTTGTGTTTTCAAAGGCATTAAGTTCGGTTTTTTGTATTTTAATATTTAGGTTAGTGATTTGACAAGTCCCATGGTGGGAGTTAGTTATTATTAAATAGTACATAGTTATAACTTGTAAAACATAGAAGAAGCTGGAATAGCTTGTTTATATGAATTGTGCTTTCAGAGTTGTTGTAAAGTATTAACAGCAATAAACAAATATATAACGTTTTACATAAAACCGTGCCTAGCACAGGTACATAGTAAATGTCCTGTTGAAGGAATCAAATTTGCCAAAATACATTTTTCTGTTGTCAGATAGCGCAAAACTTACATTCTTTTAAGAAAAATATATTATTTTTACACGCTTTCTTTTTATTATTTCAACTGTAGGCATGTGAGGAAACTTTTAATTCGAATTGCAATGATCGCGTTTCTATTTTTTAGGGTCGACTGAATTAATTTTCACTTCATTGCTCTAGCGTTGGTATGTTTTAGTGCTAGATTATGCTTGAGGAACTGTAATGTATATCAATTTTCTGGAATTGAGCATTAAACGCAGCAGGAATAAATATCGAAGAAATAATAATGACTATTTGAGCTTGGCAACAAATTAAATGAATTTTTTGCATATAATTGTCAAGACTTATTAATCAGAAAGCTTGATCTTCGAGCCAGATTCTTCAAACTATACCCCATTCTAAAATAATTGTTAAACATTTTAGGTATGATCTTCTGAAAGTCAAGATCGAAAAGGAAGAGTTCATTTGCGATCTCTGCAACAAGGGATTCGCAAAGAGTTATCAACTGTCCTATCATGTGAAAACGAGACATCAAGATGCCGCTTTTGAATGTTCTACTTGTGGCAAGAAATTCAAAACCACTCGCCAGCTAGTCGCCCATACGCGCTGCCATGCAACGATCAAAAAGGAAAAGGAACTGTACCAGTGTGAGATCTGCAAAAAGGTTTTGGGTTCCAAACAAGGCCTGGTCAGCCACACGAAGAGACATTTGAAGATCTACGATATGACGTGCGAATTCTGTGGAAAAGGCTTCTTCTGTGCTGGCAGTCTTCGATTGCACGTCAATTCCAAGCACACTGGCAAGTCGAACTTTGTTTGCAATGTCTGTAGCAGGCCTTGCTACGATAAAACTGCCTTGAAGAATCACATGGTAAAGCACACGGCCGAATACAAAAACAGATCCAAAGTGAAATGTACCCAATGTGGTCAGGAATTTTTGGACGACAAATATCTCAGAATCCATTTGAAGAAAAAGCACGTGCCAGACAATCGCTTTGTTTGTGACCTGTGTGGGAAAAAGTTGTATTCCAAAAGTGGACTTGTTGATCACATGAACGTACACAAAGGCCTGAAACCGCATAAATGTGAGTTTTGTGGAATTGGTTTTGCGAATTCTACAACACTGAGATTGCATGTTCGACGACATACCGGCCATAGGCCTTATAAGTGTAAGTTATGTGATAGAGCCTTTAATCAGAGCCATAGCTTGAAGGTGCATCTTAGGCTGCATACAGGCGAGAAACCCTTTAGTTGCAATGTATGTGCGAGAAGTTTTGTTAGTACTAGCGTTTTAAAGTCTCACATGAAATGTAATCACAAGATTGACTAAAGTAACGGCTCCATGGCACACAAAAAAAACGTCTTTCTGATATGAAATAGTTCATTTAACTACCCAAGGTCGGAAAGGGTATCGGAAAAATTTAAGGAAAGTTGATACCCTATGAAAAGGTCGGATGCAGTTTTTTTAAAGCACTGGAAATATTGAAACACAAATGAAATCGCTTGCAGCAATTATTGCAGTTATCCTGTTTCAAAGTATGGAAAAATTTGGTGTGTCACGTTGAATTTGTTAAGCAGTTTAGTCAGCATCACTAACATTAAGCAAATTATATTTTTTCTTTTCTGGGTTTCAGTCAAAATGTGAAATAAAAATGTTCATATCGTTTATTTCATATCACGTTTCGGCGAGACAACAGCGCCATCATCAGATTTAAACTTTAAAACAAACCCATAATTGGAAAACATTAGATTCTTTATAGGCTTGGCTGTCTTCAAAACTATAATCCATTTGTTTAAACATTTTTTGTTTGTTAAGAAAAAATATGATACCAATCACACGCAGTCACGAAAATAAATCAAAATTATGCAAATCATAAAATATATTTCTATTTTTGTTGATAACATTTTTCTATATTTTTGATATAAAAATTGTGTCTTTAAAAACTGTTGAAGTTATAGTAATTTAATCTGACTGAAAGAACTATACCTTATATTATGACCAACGAAAATAACCATCACTGCTTCAACTCAATTTTGAAAAATGCAAGCCAATAAATCTGAACCTAAATCAGAAAACAGGGCTAGAAATAATTTACTTAGATTTTGGTTTGGGCTTCCAAGGATCTCTCGGATCTTTCCAGTCATCTTTTTCATAGTCCCACTTAGAAGCCAAGCCTTGTATAGGATTCATTTTTAGATCCAACATCCTTCTGAATTGACACGCCCTACGCTCTTCTTCAAATGATTCCGGTAATTTTCCCGAATAAATCGTAGCTTTAAAGTAGTAAAAGAGCCAGAAGGCGGGCGAAATTATCATCAGAAGCGAACCGATCACGTACTTCCATTCGCCAAGACTCGTCGCTTGGAATTCGGAAAAGGTTTGGCAAAATGAGGCCCTAAAAACGACCAACATTTTTTAAATAGCTCTGTGGAAACTTCCTGAACTCTAGAACCTATAAAGGGCCTTTTTATCTTCGCAGCTTAGCTCGTTCCAGTCGCATTTTTCCTTCTCGTGTAGTGCTTGTAATTCTGTTGTTGTTTCCTTCCATCTGATGGCAGGAAATGGGTAGTCGTGAGCGTCTACGTAAACGGGTTGGCCATTCATTCCGAAACCCACGATTTCGCGATTGCCAATCAAATTCCGTTCTTGTTCTGAGATATGAGCGATCTGAATATTATATTTTTTTAGATTGCCACTTTCATCATACTAAATATCGTGTTTTGAAAAACAGATTTTCAAGAAAGTTTAGAAATATGTGTAACATGTTCGAAAATTTCATAATCATTTGCCTTGACCTGTGACCAAGACATTTAATATTTTGGACTCTCAAACATTTAAATGCGATTATGAATATAGGTTTTTGCGTTGTGATGCGCTTAAGATGACCAGACCAATTATTTAGACCTTCCATTGAGCTGAAGATTTTTTTCGAGATTACCGCGGTAGGGAGCTTATCTCGAACACACCCGTATATTGACATCTTATTTTGATTGGTCACGTTGACGAATTGTGCAATTTGTAAAAATAAGGATTTTTTCAATATTTAATCAAATTGAATCATTTTTAGGAGATTGATGTGGGTGTATCTGGTACTTTACGTTTTTAACAGAGGCGTTTTAAGTCTATTTATTTAAGAACAAAACCTTGTTACGTGTTAAAGATTGTATGTTTCTATTATTAAGCGACTTGTGATGATGGCAAGCATAAATTGTATAATATTGGTGTTTACCTGGCAATGTTTAATAAACAGTCTGCTTTTGAGTAGGGAACGAGAACTGATCCGCATGATCGATACCATTTCGATTTGTATTTATAAAATTAGGTTTAAATTAACTTTGTCAGCAAACGACAGAAGTAATAAATGACAAAAATCGTCTTGTTGCTGAGTAACTACTTATTATACGAATGCACAAAAAAGTATTTTTGACAATGAGTTAAGGCATAACTAATAGTTCTAATCAATTGAACTGTTAGTTATTTTCTCCACACACTCCAGGGAATCTATTCAGAATATCTTCAGAATCCTTGTATTTTAGTGGATATTTTACAGTTGACGTGTTAATTAAACTGTCTTCAAATACCTTGTAAAGACCTATTTTAAGAATTTATTTGTAAACATTCTATATTTAACAAAAATTGTCTTCTGGTTTTTGTTACACTTTTTTTGATTTGAAATCTCTTCACCAGCTTTCCAATTATATTATTTCTTCTTTCTAACCTTCTTCTATTCCCCTTTTTATTGCCCCATAACAACCCCATTGTTACCTGCAAAATATTTCCAGTCGACAAAACAATTAAAAACCGAAACTTACTTAACTAGGCACTTAGCAGTTAACAATTAAATCTGATACAGTATATTTTTTAGGTTTATCAGAAACAAGAAACTTGAACAATTATTTGACATCAAATATTGCAGCGTTGTGCTAGAAGACGTATTAAAAAGCAGTCGCATTTCCAGATCGACGAACGAAGAATATTCGCTAAATGTTTGCCATATTTGTGCTGCATGTAATGAACATTTCTCCAAAATCGGAGATCTTGAGCATCACGAGCACATGGTGATTACGCACGTTTGCAGTATTTGCTGCGAAGGATTCTCTTCGCTACAAATTTTACAATCGCATCAAGTAACACACCACACTAACACGGTTTTTGTTAAAGAAGAAAATTCCGAAGAACTTTTTTATTGTTCGATTGATATTAAAGATGAAAATGTTACGAAAGCAGTTGCACCAGGTGAAGTGCAGACGGTACAACATAATGAATCAGCCATCCCTAATGCAAACTCGGAAATGGTACCATGGCTTGCGCCAATTTTACCACAATGTCCACCGTATTTAATTTACGGAAATCAGATGTTTCTCCGTATAGATTTTGTGGGGAGTAAAGCCGTGCTGCCATTAGCAAATGAAGAGCCAGTTGCAAATCCTACAGAAAATTTGCAAGTGTCTTCAGATGCAATTGTTGCTAATCCTATTAATCAGCCTAGTCTTTTAACAACGAGAGCGAATACTACTGAAGCTGCCTCTACGATTCCTCCTCTCAGATCTCTCCAATCTACTCCCTCAACCTCTGCAGCTGACCCGGAGACTATTTATTTAGTTGCAGATGGAAAAGGACGTTTATGTGTTGATGGCGAAAAAAACAAACGCAGATCCAAAAAGAACCCAACACCTGAAGAACCAAATAAGACAAGAATCGGTAATTTGACGAATGCTTGCAGTTTAAACTTGCTAAGTGCAGATGGTGAAACTCCTAGTAAGCGAAAGCGTGAACCTTCCGCGAGTCCAGCGAAAGGGAATTCGAGTAAAATAAAAAATGTTTCTCTTCAGAAAAAGTCTATAGAAATTGTTAATCCGGCTGAAACGGGTGGACGGGAACTAAACCAGAAAATTGCTTCCACCAAACAGTTTGTGAAACCGAGTCAGACGAAGAGTAACAGTTATTCTGCTGCCAGTTCCAGCTCTTCAGTAAGTAACACTGTTGTGGGATCAAAAATTATTAATCAGAAAATGCCAGAACTTCAGTGCTACAAAATAGTACCAAAGACTACAGAAACACCTAATAAGAGAAATCTTTCTAAACCTTCTGAGAAGAAAGAAGAAAAAGAAGGCTTAAGTTTAAGCACCAGTCGAGAAATGAGTTGGAGTAAGGAATTTCCTTCCGATTCATCCCAGTCTGGTACTAGCCAGTCCACTAAAACCTTGCCTAACACAACGCGCAGATATGGCTGCACCATTTGTAAATCCAAATTCTACTCATTTGAAGCTGTACGAAAACATTGCCTTGAACAGCATTCGTTATTAAACAAATAATGCTATGAATTTACAAACTTTAATCGATATTGAAAGTGTGTATGTAATAAATTCCTGATGGAACTTATAAGCAAAGTATATATTTTAGGGGTCAATTAGTAAAAACCTGATTTTTACATGACTTGGATGAGCTGGCTAAGTTTTCGGGAAATATTCCTACATTTTCGCACATGATTAGTACAGATATTTCAGTCCCCCAGCAAATATGTGTAAAGTTTGTCTGGCACTGGCAATCTCTTAACTCTTTTTTGAAGCTTTTTAATACGTTTGTAAAACGTGCGCACAAATATTGCAAATTTCCACTGTTGCTCGTTGCAAAAGTAAATAATCAGAAATTGGTGCCCTAAACGTGGTCTTTCAGTTCGTATATGGGCTACTAACAAGCTGCTATATATCACACATGGCCAAGTTAAAATTAATTTAATATTTGGGTTTTTATTTCTTGACTGTTAAGTTGTATGAAATTTATTTAGATTTTACTAATTTATAGAAAACTGTTCTAATTAAGATTGACAAAGACACTCTAAAGTCTTAAATGTTAAATGTCTGTTCTTTGTATCACAGAGTAACTGTATGGTTTGGTATATTTCCTTATGTTTTATGTAATTTTTATTAACCCATTGGAAAGATGTTACTTACGTAGAGTTACAAAAGAATTGTCTAAATTAAATTACGTTACATTCCGCCTTGTCAATTTTTATTTCATTATCATATTATTCACTATATACTGTTCTTTCTGGTGTGTACGATTAATACGCACAGGCTTTATGTTCTTCACGGTTTTTAGAATTCTAGAAGGCGCCAACCCAGACATTTTCGGATTTTCGGACATGGGTTCTTGTCTGCTGCTATTGTTGCACTGAGCACTTCTTATACTTCTATACTTATATAGCTTTAATATGCTTTTTAGTATTTTTGATTTGTTCTGTATCTCGGAAGTGCATCACTTTTGTACTATTTTCAGTATTTAACTTGAATTCTATATTTTTGTATAATGATTTTATATTGATCATTACATGAGCAAATCGCTCATGTATTGAGAAATATGAGTCGAAATGCCACATTATTATCATCCAAGGAAAAATATGCAGTCATACTACGACACTCTTTAGGTCGTCCGCAGACAAATCATTGCGGATCATGCGACTGATCGCCAATGTTCTGGGAGGACACGGCACTTAAAGAAGAAGAAGAACAATATACGCCGCGCTTTCTGTTCAATAACTTCGTATCTTCGTTAGAAAACAACGAATGTTTGGTAAGTCTGTACGCGCCTTAAGCTTAAATTACTGTTTCAAATGAGAATTCGGACGGATGTTTTAACGCACTCCGATTGCTCAATCAACAATATGAGACTAAAAGCTCTACGTCTATATGGAAAACCGGGCTAAAAGAATGCCAAACTTACCAAAAGCTGTATTGATGTGAAGCTGTATTGTGACAAAAACGTAGATCAAAGCTTAATTATTGCAAACCACAAACCCAAACTAAACTTGGTTCAATTTGAGGGATTGAGGTATAGAGATTCCCCTCACCACCTTTCTGTAAGCTGGCGCCCCATTCTCCCAAAGCTCACACTATACTTGAGCCCATAAAGAAGATATACACCAAATTGAAAACTTGCACTTATCCTGCAGTAAACGAGCAGGATCGCGCTCTAAACTGAACATTTACTCTGCATTAGGGAAAACTCATGCGATATTGAAGTTTTGATCACATTCCAAACACACCGACCCACAGGCCGAGCATTATGCTCAACTTTTAAGAAACCTTGAGTTTGTCCAGCTCGATACGTTTTGTAAACGGGGTCTAAAAGGCAAATACACATTCAAACGAAGTCACGACTTGTGGATGCTTTCCTCTACTCGCATCATCAATGAATGATGAGGGAATAATTAACTTGATTTTAACTCGAGCTCTCTTTCCAGATTTTTACGAACTGTTAAACTTGTATAGCTTGATTGATCTTAACTCAACATAGTAAAGGTTGCAAAAGTTAAATTAATAAAACATTCTGAGAGTAATAATGATTTATCGTTGTAGAGCAGTGCGATATATTTAGCTAAAGCTTGTGTCTGGTTTCGTTGTATTGGTTTAAAACAACTGGCCAAGTTTCACCTCAAATGCACTCGCCCCAACTAACAAGACAAAAATCTCATATGAAGTGGTCAAATATTTCGAATTTTTATAGCCTTTAAACAAATGAACAAAAACTATTGAAAAGCGAAGTTATCATGAGCTTCATTGAGAAACAAGTGCATTGCGTTCCAGTTTTGTGATCTAGCCCAAAATATGGAGGTAAGTGTTAATTAAATACAGGGTGCCTCTCAGGTACCCGTGATACTGGATATGTGAGTTTTATGACTAATTGTAATTCCTGAATTCTGAACGGTTCAAGCAAGTTGGGCTAAATTACATTACTGTAACGAGAGGACTTGAGAGACTAGTAGACTGGGCTAAATATGAATGTAATGTACGAGTGTAGTGACGCGGAATGTAGTATTGGGAAAGATCAAAGACATTAAAATAGCGTATAGCCTCTACTTTTAAGTTCTAAGTGTATAACTTGCAAAAAGTAAACATTTCTCTAAAACTGCTGATACTGGTATTCTTTCGCTTATGTTGCATATATCGAATCTTCAAACGCTTTCATCTTAAATATGGCATTGTTTTTTTAGAGTTGAAAGGGTTAAATGCGAATTTCTTGCGGTGAAAGAAGAGTTTTCAATAGAGGAACTTCAAGCTTCCGAAAGCATCTTCAAAGCGGAATGCGATGAATATACTGAGATCGAAGAAACTGTATTGCGCCAAGAAAATAATCGACAATACACACATGCTACTAATAATGTGGATCTACAACCAAAGGAGGGAAAACATGTATGCAGTATTTGCCAAAAATCGTTCCGGTATTCGTCTGTTCTGTTAGCCCATTCAAAACTCCACTCAAATGAGCGACCGTTTCAATGTAATTATTGTGGTTCTAAATTCAAAATGAAATCTGTTCTGAAACGACACGAAAATATTCACACAAAAGAAAAGAAATATGTATGTAAACTTTGCGGTAAAACTTTCTTCACTTTCACCAA